CGTACACCACACTTATATATATATTATATATATATATATATATATATATATATATGTTTGTTTGTACTAGGTTAGGACTGGCCTGTGCTCTGCCAGGATGCCTGCGGGCTGGCCTAGCCCTGGACCTGATATCACTTGTGTTTTCAGTATGGTCGAGTAGCTTATAACAGTTCGACAAAAGGCACATGTCCAAGCAGTTCATCGCATTTTTTGCGACCTTTGTTCCACCCTATATGTGGTCTTCTCATACCTTTTGAGACCCCTTTACAATCATATTCTAATTAGCCTCGATGTGTTGACACTTGGCACTTGACTGATTATTGTGTACGTCCTGGTTCTTCACTCGTCTCTTGAAGGAGTAAGAAACAAAATCCTCTGGCTAAGTTTAGCGCCAATGATGCATAATGGGCCTCTCATCAACATGCAGTTACATGGGTGTGCAACTATCTCCTTCTGTATCTCTCTTATGTGACAATGTTTGTGGAAGCAAGATTGCTTCAGATCCAGTGTTTCATGAGTGTTTCAGAGAGAAATTTGTAAAAATAGTTTGATCTTTTTACATATCAGCAGATAGTAATTTCTTTTACCAAGGCCATGACATCATAAAGACGGTGTCTAGTTGACAAACTCATGATGATCAATATGTAGAATCAGAACAAGTGATTGCTGAGATTCGTGCTGGAACATCCACTTTAAAGAAGTCCCTTATACATATCGAGTCGAATTTGACTTGAGGTGTTAACAATCGTATTTGCATTCTGTCATTCTTTATTATAAGATGTATTTATTTATAACCATGGAATTGTTATCAGCGATACATTCTCCCATCCAATAGAATTAAATCTAAAATTGTATATGTACACCATCGAGGTGCCAAATGATCAGTCATTGCACTAAGGAATGAAAGAATGGGGGATGACTCATTCTTTCAGAGTTTTTGAAGCCGAGTTTGTCAAAATCAGTGGAAAAGCATGAATCTAATTATATACTGATATTAGATTTCTTGTCAATTTATTCAAGATATGAATAAGAATATCATCACTTTATTGTTTTCATCCTAGATTAAATTATTTTGGGCTATTTTAGCAATGTTATACCCCTTTTTATCCTCTTGAATGTGAGGTGATGGTGTGGAGGCAGCAAGTAGTAATTATTCTCAAATTCTGATATTGTTTGATCCTTTTTTGTCTTCCTTGCTATTCCTTTGAGAGCATCGTGATCTAGCAGAATTTTTAATTATTATTATTAATTTGTTAAGAAGCAAATCAAGCCCTGGTTTTCGTATAAGGAATCAACTCATACTTCGGATGCGTCAATTTGATATGACTTGCTTTTTGAATAGCTATTTAAATGCGAAAGAATTCGTGCACTGAATGCATTCTGTTCATTATTATACAGTCTGGACTTCTCCATTTGTCCCGATATTCTGTCTAGAACTCATGGTAGAACCCATTTTATACTGCATTGTTGATAAATTAATTGCTTTAGTCATCCTTCATTTATCTCCAGGATAGAAGTGTAAGACTGTAAATAGAATATACGGTGAGAACATAAGATTTTAATATACTATTTTATTTTTTTCTATTGTGGTGTTTGAATGCTGGTGAGGCCTTGGGCTTTTCAGTGTCAGAGATGCAATCCAGTCATCTGCTTATGAAATTGGAGGTCTAATAAAGAGTTACTAGTGAGTGTTTTGAATGATATTGAGCCTCTTAGTTGAATAGCCATTTAAAATATATGTATAATAATATGCTTATTTTAGGAGAAATTGAACCGAAGATGTGTTTGAGAACATAAGATTTTAATATACTTATTTATTTTTTTTCTATTGTAGTGTTTGAATGCTGGTGGGGCCTTAAGGGTTTTTCAGTGTCAGAGATGCAATCCAGTCATCTGCTTCTGAAATTGGAGTTCTAATAAAGAGTTACTGGTGAGTGTTTTGAATGATATTGAGCCTCTTCGTTGAATAAACCATTTAAAATATATGTATAATAATATTTATCTTAGGAGAAAGTGAACCTAAGATGTGTTTGTTGATTGTTGAATTTGCAGCAAAATCTGATCTCATACTATTAACAATCAATATTTGTACAAGTGAAACAGGGAGTGAATCACCCAGAGTTGATAATTGGAGGTTCGGTGTTTTTGAGGTATTTATTTGTAATGCTGTTTCCCTTAAAATTAGGCTGTAAACCCGAGTCTTTTGTACACTTGTGAACCTAAGAAAAACTCTCTCTCTCTCTCTCTCTCTCGCTCTCTCTCTCCATATTATTTTCATGCGAGTTTTCTTTTCCTTTCCATTGCAATCAAGGATGAACAATTGAAAAATTACCTTTCAGATCTGAAAAGTGCATTTTATATGTTCATGACTGAGACTCATTGTAGCTCAAGTCTCAAAACCCACGATGAAAGATCATGTGAAAAATACATTCCTAAAATATAAAATAAATTTGATATCAGAATTTGTTTGTTGGTTCTTAATAGATAAAAACAAGGCTCAATTTCTCAAAATATCAGAGTACGCACAAAATTGTGCTAAATTACAAGAACTAGGAAACAAATGACAATGGATCAACCTTGAACAATGCACAACTCTAAACTATGCCAAGAGATGAAGTTTTGGTGCTAGAAAGCCTTTGCAATGATTTGAAAATCTATTTCTACCTCCAATTTTTAAATTCGAAGCTCAAAAAATAGTGTAGGTTGAGCAAATCTATAAACTTATTAAATTTTTTTAAACTGGATGGTTCATATAATGTGTTACTTTTTAATGATTTGAAATCTTTTTTTTTTTTTCATATCCCGAAATCCCAAGTTCAAGATGATCAATTTGATAATTTTTATGGTGCTCTTTATTGCGACAGTGTAAGGATGAAATTTTATATGATTTCTCCCCCCTTCCCAAAAAAAAAAGAAAAAGGGTAGCTTCGTGGGAGGTTGCGCCCTCATGCAACGCCACAGGCCCTGAAAATTTACTGTTTGGAATGAGGATCTAAAAATCATTCTAAACCCTTTGAATCTATTTTCAGGAAAATGGGTTAGAGCTCTTAAAAAATAGTGCAAATCTGACTTAAGGTAGATTCTTTTGGAAACCACAAACTAGATTGCATGACATTCAAAATAAAATGCGATCTGTATTGCAAGCTGAAATGACATTTAGGCGTATCTTAGGGTTCCAAATTAATTTTCTTTGGGTCTTTTATTTTGAGGGTCGAGAAGATAATTTTAGATGTTTAGGACATCAATTATCCAAAATATGAAAATGGAGAGGATGCGGCTAAGTCACTGCTTCACCAATTACTTCTCCAACATTAAAGAATAATATGCCATTTGTCCCAACCAAAGGCTATACATGTTTATGTGATTTTCCCTCTCTCTTTGCATGTGTTAGCTTGCTATAAGCTTCAATGATGCTATTTCTCTCCTAGGTTGCTAGTATGAAATGAGCTTTTATGGGGTGTAGGTTCTTTCTATAAGGATGCAACCTTAAACAATCCAATTAAAGCGCACCTCCAAATTTTATTAATTTTGATTTAAAAAATTATAAGGATTATCTAAAAATCTATTTTCGTATCTATTTATAAAATTTTAAACTCTAAAAATGGTTAAAATCAAGTAGATCTATGAACATGTGAAAATATTGAAAATTGTCGGTCTAGATTATGTGATGTAAGATTATATATATTCATATTCACACATCTTGATGTTGAGATAATCAATTAGAGGGTTTTTCAACCTTAAAACAATATTTTTCGATGGATTTTTGGGGTGCATCTGTACTTCTACATTTTAAGGTTGCAACCTTATATAAACTTTTTCCTTTAGTTTTTCCAAGCTTCTTTTCTTGTCTTTGAATCCAAGTATTTTGTTGATCAAAGCACAACTTTTTTTAAAGGGTTGATATTGTGTCTTGTGGACGATTGAAAGGCGCACAAGCATCTAATTTTAAATGTAAATTCATATTTATTTGAAATTTTGGGCTCAAGTTTCATTTTTGTAATAATAATAAATAAAATAATAACAAATATTTTGGATAAAAAATATTGGTGAAGTATATTTAGTGCTGTATTGGTCAATTATATGTTAGATAAATATTGGTCAATTATATTTGAGATAAACATAATAAAAAAATAAAAGAAATACATTAATTTTTGGCAATTAGATATGGCTTTGTGAAATCTCAACTATTTTACTTGTGCACGGTTACAATTCTGGCCGAGATACTTTTTTAAGTGTAAGTTGAAAGACATCATATTGTGGTACCTTGTCTCCTCACCATGCAAACCTCAAGTTTGTGCCTAGTTAAAAGTATAACCTTAGCCATGCCAACATTGGGAATTCCCATGGAGTCGATCATATAGATATTGGGGGTCTTGAGAAATTTAAAATTGCATGTTCTTGACTATCGTTTCTACAGGTCAGGCAATATTGTGTGTTGTCAGACATTTCAATGAAAGAGTATAATCTAGCTTGCACAGTTAGGCATCAAATGGGCATTTGGTCTAGTGGTATGATTCTCGCTTTGGGTGCGAGAGGTCCCGAGTTCGATTCTCGGAATGCCCCCTCTCCAAATGCAAGCTATACTTTTTGGCAAGGAAAAGGCATTTTTTGGACTTCTTTTTGCGTATAACAAGGCGTTTTTTGGGACTTCTGCGTTTCGTTTCGTATAGGGCTAGAAAACATAAACATAAAATAGGAAAAGGTTTATATAAGGTTGCAACCTTAACACTTAAAAAAAATGTTATTTTAATATTAAAAAACTCCATGATTGATCATCGAGATGTATGACTAAATAAAAATATTTTGAGTCTCATAAATAGTGCATCTTACAACATATCATCTACACCATCCATTTTCAATATTTTCATATGTTTATAGATCTGCTTAATTTTAACTATTTTTAAAATTTAAAAATTTATAATTAGATATAAAAATAAATTTTGAGATAATTCTAAAAAAATTTGACATTAAAATTATATATTATAATAAAATTTGAAGGTGCACCTTAGTTGGATTGTTTATGGGTGCAGCCTTATGGAAACCCACACGCCATAAAATATTCTCAAACATTACTTAGGTCTATTATAAAATATTTAAATCACTAAAAATAAAATAACCTCTCACTTTTTCACGCGTGTATTTGGATAAAGTTCATATACTATTTATTATGTGGGGCTAGAAAACATAAACATAAAATATTCTCAAGCATTACTTAGTCAATGAGATGTGAGGTCTATCATAAAATATTTAAATCACTAAAAAAAAATAACCTCTCCCTTTTTCACGATGTATTTGGAAAAAGTACATATTCTATGTGTCCTTGGAGGCATAATTTGTTTCGACTCCCTCTGTCAGATTACTTCTTTGATGAGATGATTTTTTCAATGTGAAATTTTTGGATAACTACTTTAGAATGATTATTTTCAAAAATATAATAATTGAAATTTGAGTTTTATAACACTTAGATCTTACCGTATATAATCTTGAGACATTATTCGTTTCAAGTGCTTAGAGGATGCAATTAAGATTTTTTTTGTTTGTTGAGGTTAATATGTGTTAAAGAGGTTATATCTCCAAAATTTGGATCCTGAAACTAATCTTAAGTAGAGTTTAATTTATGTGTTAGAGGATACACGTTTGGTTCGTGTGAAAAAATTCCCTCATATGGTTAGGTAGTTGAATATTTTCTCTACCAATTGTTATAAAAAGATACATCATAATCAATTGATGTGATAATATTTCTACACCTAATCACTTGCAAAAATTTTTCACTTAAAAATATTTCCTAAGAAATATTTTCACATAAACAAAGCAAATGGACAATATACTCTTGAAAGAGTGGAATATCGTTTGGCTTATAAAATAGCACATATGCTGAAATTACTAAGTAGGTTTTGGTCCAGAAAGGGGGGTCTACCCTCCCACTAGCTCCCTAAAACATCGAAGGGTCCTGGTTCCAATCTAACCGGCCGGTCAGAATTGGTTGATTTGTTGAACAATGGTTTGGATACTTTATTTTATAATATAGGTGAATGATTTCTTTCTAGAGTATAGTATATGTTTACTCCCTCGATTAATACCCAATCTATGAGTAACTTTAGGACCCTAAACCTCTTCAACCCATAGGCTAATCCCGATTTAAAAAAAAAAAAAGAAAAAGAAAAAATTTAACATCCCTTGTCGCACTCTCCATAGGCTTCAAGAAAATTGTCTTGAAATTGAGCAAAGGCCATCTAATTTTTGATGGGTGAGATCTAAGGGTTTTTTCTTTTAAAAATAATCATCTAATGGTTCTTAGATAGTTCCCCAAATTTTAAATCAATAAACTTTTCTCTGATCAATCTTCTGCCTGTGGAGAAAGTACACGATATGCCCATGGAGTAAGTAGACAATATGCTCCCTACGAAAACATAGTACACATGCTCTAAAATATATGTTCGGTGGAAAATATATTCTATAAAGTCTGGATCTTTTATTACAACATGAAATTCAACCGAATATCTCTTTTAATTGGCGGTACTTTACAAATGTCTTCATATTTTTATTTTATGCTCATTTATCTTTTTTGTGGTTTTTATTTTTCTCCTAAATGCTCTCTATTTGAAACTAGTAACTTCAGATGGCACATTGTAGGGCTAGTGAATGGGCCTTTCGCAACTAATTGTTTTGGACCTTGATCTATCTTTCCATCTATGTAAGGAACTCCGGTAATTTAAAATTAGTAATACTAGACCCCCTTGATTCCTTAAAATGAATGGTATGTAACTAATTATTCTAAACTATTTTGTACAATTAGCAGTTTGGAGGTAAATGGTAAAACTAATAAATGTGATGCAAAATAATGAATTCTTTAAATACCATTAACAAATTATTTTAGAATAGATGAAGTTTCTATAAGGCCTGGGCTTTAAGCGTACAAAATAAAGCCTCATCTCATAGAAAGCACTTTCGGTAATGGAAATGTCCATGATGGATCTAAATCAATTTCCAACACCAACAATAAATTTTGAAACTCAAAAATGGGATCATGTAAATCTATGAACACTTAGTTTAACAAATACAAGAGGGGAAAATAATCATAACATCATCTATTATTATTATTTGTTTATGGAAATGAATACAAGAGGGGAAAATAATCATAACATCATCTATTATTATTATTTGTTTATGGAAATGATAAAATACATTCTCATAAAGTAAAATCTGCTCCACAAAAGGGGGGAGAGGGGCGTTCCGAGAATTGAACTCGGGACCCTCTCGCACCCTAAGCGAGAATCATACCACCAGACCAAACGGCCGCATTGGGCAATTAATTTATATAACAGTTATTTCATTATTTGTTCGTTTTTTTTAAATAGTCCCCCCGTGTGCATTTGATTAAACCTTCTAATCAAAGGTGCTCTTTCAGGCGCACACTGCAAACACTACCTTCCCTAATAAAATATATTTTTATCAAAAATGTCGTATCTAGGTCAGAATCAACAAATGATTTCCAAATTAAAGTAGTTAGGATTTTAAATTTTAAATAGTCAATTTGATGGGCTAAGCGTACAATGTACTCTCTCAGGAGCACACTATAGAAAGTTCAATAATCCCTTGTCTCGGAACAGGTTGAAAGAACATTTCAAACAAATACTAACCAAGAATCGGAAAGTCTTGTCCCCCGCTATTATATGGTAATTTTGCAATAAAAAAAGTTGAATAGTTTAAAAAATAGTATATACTCATTCCAAATGGATCTAATGAGGTAATTTTGATGTTAAAATATGGCATATTTAGAAAATGCTCATCTTACATAATAAAAAAATAAAAAAATATATATACAATGAGATCATTTACTTTTTATATAAAGAAGCCACAATTATCATTGACCGTTTGATTTTAAATCGGGTGATTGAGTCGAACCGACAATCCCACTTGAGTGATCAATCCACGTAGTATGGATGTCTTTTTTTCCAACATTTCGATGGAAGTAATTGAACTTGAGTCATAATGCTACTAATTGTCCGTGGTTGACTACTCAAGGCATCCTAGAGTATAGTTTTTTTTTTTGGTGAGTCAGTCGGGAGAGGTCCCCTACCTATAGTAAAAATTGAGTCGAAAAAGTAGCATTGCAAATTGTCAAAACGCTAATCAATTAAGCCCGAGCTCTTTTCCTAAAGGGCGTGGTTTCTATAAGGTTGCAACCTTAAACAATCTAATTAAGGTACACTTCCAAATTTGATTATAACATGTAATTTTGGAGTAAAAAATTATTAAGATTATCTCAAAATCTATTTTGATATCTAGTTATAAAATTTTAAACTTAAAAAATGGTTAAAATCAAGTAAATCTATGTATTTATGAAAATCTTGAAAATGAACAGTCAAAATAATGTGTTGCAAGATGCATTATTTTTTAGACTTAATTTTTTATTTTTTTTTATATTAATATATTTCAATATTGATAATCAATTAGAGGGTTTTTCAATATTAAAAAAACTTTTTTCTCATATATTTTTGAGTTACATCTTTAATTTTAAAGTTATGACTTTATATAAACTTTTTCCTTTCCTATATCTAGAGTGTAGTTCCTTGATTCCATGGGCACATATAGAAGACAGGGACCATGGATGTGTAAATACCCGAAACATCAAGGCCATTTTGGTCATTTCCTTTTACCAAGGTTACTCTCGTGGTTCTTACCGAAATAGAGATCATGTCTCTGTAAATCGTTGTTTTAACCCCCTTTCTTTCTCTCTCTACCAAAACTTTCCCTCCAAAACTTCTCCCAAACGGAACGCCACGAACCCCAAACCCTAAATTTTCAGAAGCAACTGTTGTGAACACCAAAATCAAAACAAAGAAAGTCGTTTATTTTCCATGGATGTCCATTTGTAGAAGCACTCATCTACCATGTTCGTGTACCAGGCCCTGCAAAACCTTTTTTTTTTTCTCGGTCATGTTTATTGGGTTGGTCAATTTCATTGAGATAGCTTGTATAAAGCGCTACTATCTTTTGATCTTTTACTGTTTTTAGTGAATAAAACATATAATCTGCTTTCGTATTATTTGATGGTATGATATAGGAAGTAATCATGTAATTTGAGTATCAAGATCACTTGTGTATGGGATGAATTCTGATTTTTTATGGGTTTTCTGATGGGTACATTGTGTTGTGTAATGTTTATAAATCCCTGGTATTCATGTGCTGAATTGAGGTCTTTATTATTTTTGGGGCGTGAATGATATGCATAGACATGGATGGTTTGTATAATATGATATAGGGAAGAGATAATCTATTGTTGGGGCCTGTATCATATTCTTTTGCTTTGTGTATGATAGACAATCATGTATTTTGGATTTTTTATTTTTTGATAAAGTAAACTTGTTGTATTGAAAGTATCATGTATTTTGGATTTTTTCCAGATGGGTTATTGTTCATCTTTGTGGTTGCTGTATAGTTTCCTCTTTTTTCTCGTTTTTGATGTGTTTGGATTGAGATGGATACTTTAAAGATTATTGATTTGTGACCAAATGAATTATTTGTCTTTTCTTGTTATTTTTTCCAGTTAATTTGACTGGAAATGGGAGGAGAAAGAGAGAAGGGGAGATTGAGCATTGATTCAGAAACACAGACCATCTCAATTGACTCACCCTTGGATGGTAAGTGCAATTTGTGTTTGTGTTATTATTTATGATGAAGTATGAAGAAATCATCACATTATTTTATTACTATTGTTCTTCTTCTTGTTGTTACAATACATATTATGACTTGGCAGAACCCTACTCATATGTTTTGAAACACTTAAGATTGGTTTTGGCGGTATATTTCGTAAAGTTAGTGACTGATATTGACATTTATCATCTGTAACGTTTAATAGCTAGTGCAACATGCTTCACATGTACCGCTGATTCAACCTGTTTTTGGGGAATTTAGATGAGGGGGTTTCACTACCTACTTTATGGAATCATGAGTGTGGGTCTAGAGACTCTAGAAGCAGCTTTTTATCATAAAATTCATGGTAGTATAAAATAGGGTGAATTCTAGCATTTGTATATTTGATATTTCTATGCTCATTGGGGTCCTGCTTCAAGGGAATCTGTTCTCAAGTGCTTTTCTTGGAATTTCTTTTGGGAATTTGATTTTGGCAGTTTTGTTATTCATACTTGTGAAAATTGTTTCTTTGTGCTCCACTGAGAATCTGGGCTGATAAAGTTTTGAATGGGTTTGATACCAACAGTTATCCTATATGATTCCATTAAGAATTTCATTATTGGTAGAATTTTCTAATCTTGCTCGTTAATTCCTTCTCATTACTTCTGAAACTAGGGGGGGTTTTCATTGAGACTCATGACAGCGACACATGCCCTGCTGAGAATACTTTGGTGCTTGATGATACAGTTTCCCTTGAAAATGAGATTGCATGTGAAGATCCTGACCACATAGAAGATACCCAACTCGTTGAGGATCCGAATTGTACAAACGTGACAACCCTGTTGGTGGGGGAGAGTGAAGAAGGGATATGTGTAGGCAGTGATCACGAAGAAACACAAAGAACTTTAGTATTGATTGATAATGAAGGAGTACTTGGTGAGGAGGGATCCATTCCCCTTAAGAATGATGGTTATAAAAGGAAGTGCAAGGAAGGAGGAAACCTCTCGGTTGTCAATGCAACCCTTGAAAATGATTGGGATCGAAGAAATAATGTGGTAGATTCAGATGCTTCAACTGATGATGAAGTTGCATCAGGTGAGTTCTATACGAGGCATCTTCTTCTGCAGTTTGTCTCGTATTTCTCAATAATGAATGCTTTTTTCAGTTACTCACATTGAACAAGAAAGGTTTGTGGAGGTACATTGCATGGATATTATTATGATGGCATGGAGTAACAAACTCTCAAATTGTCTCTGGCTGAAAGCACGAATGTGCTTTGGCAAAAGATCCTACTATTGCATTAGCCTTTTGTCTGTGCTAAACCTCCACGGTTCTCAATAGTGTTCTGGTTTCCTCAATTTGTGTCTGCTTGTTTACATGGTTTTTGTTTTCACTGAATTTGGTGGCACATCTAAGTGACTCGTGGGGCTCTTCTCTTTTCCCATTACTATCTAATATCTTGCCAATTTTCTAATACGATTATTTCCTTTTGAGCTATTCTGTTCTGTCATTTCTGTTATTTGAATTCTTTATTATCAACAAGAGATTTATAGTTACTTCAGGTAACTAGGATACGATTGGATTTGAACTAATTGGTCCATTCTAAGGAACAAGATGTGGAGTACTAGTACATATGCTGCCACTGACTTTTGTAATGTGGGTTACACAAGGTGTCAGGATGCTTGCTTGAAGAAATAACCCCCTAAAGACCTATTTTTCACAAATCATTGGCAGGGCTGGCTTAGATTTGTGTAAAATTGAGAGAAACCTTTTGAAATCAGTAGAGAACGGGAACAATGATTTTTAAAGATTTTATAAATAGAGAAAGCAAAAAATATAAAAAATAATAAAAAATAATGGGGAAGGGAAAGAAAATGCCTAGAAGCTGGGCCCTCAAGCCCGACACCTGGAGTTGGGGCTCGAATCAGACAAAGATGGGAGTCTTTGTTCCTTTCACCTTTAAGATTTACTAAACCGGGGAAGTCATGCCTAGGAATTTGCTTCTAAGTCTTTGGATTGGCTAGGAAAAAGGTTTTTCTTCTCTAACGTTTGTTGTATTTGCATAGTCTTTAGGATTATTGATCACTTAGAATTTCTAGTGTTTGGAGATGACATGATTGAGTGGCTATGGGTAGGGTTTCATTCTGTAAGATGTTGAAAGGTGGTGGAAAATGTCTATTTATATCAAAAATATTCCAGATCAGGAAGGTTTCGGTCTGGATTAAATCTGGACCATTCGTGTTGGAGCGGAGATGCGTCGCTGGTCGGGGCGCACCTCACATCACTAAGTCCTGGTCACTTCTGAACAATGCCGAAGATTGCACAGATTCTGATGGTGGTAGTCTGATTGAAATCATATGCTTCTTTGTCCACGATTTTCTTCCTTTCTAACTTAGGAGTTGCCTATTTTTGGTTGCAGTCTCCTAAAATGGGATATTTTGAATATTTCGAATATCTAGGGGTAGTCTGAGGTTGGACTATGATATAGGTGTGGACTGGAATTCAGTGTGTCCTATGGTTCACTAGGATTGTTTGCTTCAGGGGTCAGGTGCCTAGAAATAACTAGAATTTTGGTGAGGGGTTCTACTCCAGGAGATCTCCTAATCTATCTGGCACCTTTCTATATGTAGCAAGGTAACGTGGACTATTTGTAGTTTTGTACTGAATCTGTTTGGTTGATATTGGGCCGCTCCGACTTTCATTGAATACCCTGATGCAACAATGGTAAAATTGTCCACTGCCTAATGTTGGTACTCTCCCATGGAGGCTAGTGATTTTTGCTGTTCTATGGCTGACTTGGACTGAACGTAATAATCGATGCTTTAAACATCATCATTATCAAAACAAAAAAAAAAAACATCATAAACATGGCAAAGAGAGAAGAAAGGAACGAGTTAAAGGAGTTGGTAGCTCGATGGGCCAAAATGTGAAGTGATTTGTGGGACTACTCTATGGGTGCCCTTCAAATAAAGTGGCTGGAGATTGTGACCCTGAGACCTCCTTGAGAAGGGTGGCCTAAAAGGTGGTTGTCACCGCCATTGGGGCTTGTTAAGTTGAATTTTGATGGAAGCTCCAAAGGCAACCTTGGGGACGCAGTCATCCGGGGAGTGAAATGATCAAGGGAAAGTCTTACTTACTATTGACCTTTTGTATTGATGCTGTTCGATTGAGGTGGAGCCAGCACCTCATAATTTGGCTTAGAAATGAAAGGCCAGGGTGGGGCAGGGTTGTCGAAGGGGACTTGGCCATTTTAATTGGTTGGTCAACAAAAAGGATAATTATGCTTGGTGCTTAGGTAGCTTATTCGATGGGGGGTTATAGTCACACGAGAAGAACTAGAGAGTTCCAACACACTAGAGGGAATTTAATGAACTGGAGGGCTCATTATCTAAGGAAGGCATGCAGAATTCTTCTATCTTGCTGTCTAGTTTTGGTGGCTCTGATGTGTAGTCTCAGATGTGGTTCCAGTCACTCTTATAGGTTATACAGACAAGGTTTTTCTATTAGATCCGATTTTTCGACTAAGTCTTGTTTGTAGTACAGGCTTCATTTTGTACCTCAAAGCTTACATTTATAGACAACTTTTAATGAACAAAAAATAGATTTGGAAATTTGCACATCATAGTATAGATTGTACTATCTTCAATTTTTACTGAATATGAATTTGTGATTTGTTTTCCCCTCAGTGGTTACAACTAGATATTTTGCCTTTATCACCTTGAGAGTGGCCTATTTCCTGCCTGACTTGATTTCCAATAAACAAAAGAAGCTGATGACATTTCCTTAACACATCCTTTCAGACATATGAATATAGGTGATAAAGCTTGAAGAGACTTTTTTGAATCTGCCTTCTGAAGATGACATGTTGCCAACCTGATTGGATTTTTCAAAAGTAGAAGAAAATGAAGATATTTGTTTAGATTTCTTGGAGAGATACAGATATAGGTAATAACACTTAACGTGCAAGAAAGGCTTATTCATTGTGAATCTGCCTTTTGGAGAGCTAATTCATTCTCTGCGGCTATATATAAATGTTCGGAGAATGTGCAGTCAAAGCAACAAATTCATAAGATGTAGTTTTCTCAATTTGTTTTTGTTTGGAACTGTTTTAGCAGATCTTAGGTTTGCATTTTCTTATTTTCTTTTGGTCCTTTCAGTGGGCTCTCAAGGGTCTCTGTGAGTGATATGTTGCACCATCCTTTGAACATGTTGATCCTATTTATAATTCGGTGGACACATGGTTCAAAGGTCTTACTTTCATATAGCATTCCATGTACATGTTTTTGCCATTTAAGTAATTATCTGCCTCTTCTTTACATGCTTCAAAAATTTTTAGCTATTTCTGAATCTTAACTTTCTCTTGATAGGGAACTCTATTTCTTATGGATCCCCTTGTCGCCAACCTGCTTCTATGCCGAAATCTGGTGAGTGTCTCTGACCTCTTCTTGTTACATGTTTGCTAAGAATAGGTTCAATAGTTGTTTATATGGTCTATTTGTTCTTATAAGGCATATACTAGGGTAATTATAACAAGGTTGAAAAATTTGGCAGCCTCACTGCCTGGGCGGCCAGCTTTAAAAATGCGCCTAGGCATGCCCTAGGTTGGCGCCTTAGGTGGATGTGCTTCTAGGCACCGGCCTAGGTGGCTCCTGGATACAACTTGGCCAAGGGTGGAAAAAATACCCCAGCCAAGTGCCAAGGGTGGAAAAAATGCCCCAGTCAAATGCAAAAAAGTACTTCCCTCCTTCCCTCCCTCCCCCCCCGGGACACCTTAGGGCGCCTAAGTATTTGGGCGGCCGCCTTCGCCTTTTTGATCCTCGATTTATACTACAACCTGATGGACCATGGAAAAATATAGCCATTCTTATTCTCTCATCTGATGAAATGATGGGCAGTGTTGGAGAAAGAGAGTGGGTCCTAAAGGATCAGGGCATGGGTCCCACTCTCTCTTCTCCGTTGTCCATGAGTTTATTGGAAGTTGATAACCCCAACGCTTTGTATTGGATTATAAGTTGCTTTCTTTCTCATAGGCATGTATTGACGAATTCCATAAGCTTCCCCAATGTCAAAAACCTCGGTACCCTAAGTGTTTCTTATTGATTCAGGATCTTCACAAAGAAGCTTTGCTTCCGTTCGTGCTGCATCTTTAAGGGCATCTGGACTTTCAGCTGCTCAAAGTATGGGCTTAAAGAGACCGGCATATGGAACTGGAAGCCTGAATCAGGAAGGCTTGAATGCCTTAGGGGATCAAACTAGAGGCAAGGCTGGAAATCCTAGGGTGAGAAAGCTTTTTGTTGAGGATGAACTTGCAGAAAATGGAAACTCTATTAGAAAATTTAACAGCCTTGGGGATGAAGAAACAAATTCTTCTCTTTTGCCTGGTCATTGTACTGCAGGGTTAAGCTACTTGAACTCACAGGAGCCTGGTGAATTGTCTCAGGCTGAGGCACTTGGGGTTGTGGATAAGTTAGTATCAGTCAATGGAGTGGGGTTGTCACAACCAGTTGAGCCAGGAAAAACTGGAGACATGAAAGCAGCTTTAAATTCAAGTGTAAAAGGGGCACAAACTCTAGCCAAATTGGCTGATTTGAGAAATCCAACTGAGAAAATTGCGATCTTTGACTGGGATGATAATCGAGAAGATGGGAGAGGAGGTATTTTCTCTAGCAAAAGAAAGGAGGCCTTCTTTCAGAATGGGAAAACTGTGGACAAGGCTTTGACAGAACCACATAAGAATAAACGCGCTCTCTCTAAAGGACCCAAAGGCTTGGGTGAAAGGCTTAGAGAGAAGGAAGAGGAAAGGTTCTCTTATGTACATCAGGGAGTCCTTAATTTTGCTCATTCTGATTCGAGGGTTGTGCTATCTGGTTCTTCAAGTGGCCATTATATGCGTTGTGCAAAAATCAGCAGGAATTTGTTCAAAGACTTAGAAGAGCATCCAAGTCAAGTACCTTTAGGGCAAGAACCAGCATCACCTGTGAGGTTTTCACAAGGTACTTATGATGTTGGTTTTGATACCCAAATGGCTGCTGAAGCTATTGAAGCATTGGGTTGTGTACCTCCTGTGACCCCTACAAATCAAAAGGCTCTCACAAATCCTACCAAAGGTTTGAGAAAGAGTAATTCACGCTCTAAATCGAAGGCTGGATCAAAAGCTAAAGGCAAGATAGGGAGTGATTCACGACGTGTCTCTGTAAGGAAGAGAGGCTGTTCTTCTATTGATTCAGATTATAATTTGAGAAAATCTAAGCAAATGAAGACACTTGATGACAAATCCAGGGAAGCTGATCACATTGGATTTAGCAGGTGCAGAAAGAAGCCAATAGCTAAGGCTGTGGAGCCAAAGTTAACTGGAGAAAGAGAAGCAAATCAGCAAAAGTTCGAGCAAGAAGAGAGGACTGCTAAATTAAGTGAACTTGGAATCAGGGAACGAAGAAAGCCTCAGCTAGAGAAGAAAGAAAAGCGGAGTTTTGATACGCTATCAAATGAGAAACCAGCAGGCACCAATTTATTGAAGGAAACTTTGAGTTCTTACCCCAAAACTAGAGCAGGGAAGAGGAATTCATCAGAAAGAAACCTAAATTCTTTACTTAGTGTAGCAGGTTGTGTGAAGAACTTAGAAGCAGTTAACCAATCATCTTCAGCTCGAAGAAAGAGGTCGACAAATGCTGCTAAAACAACTCATTCCCAAACATGTGTTCCCAATAAGGACTCCATTGAGGAAATATTTTTAAATCCTGGAACAAGGAAAACGAGATCCGCTTCTAAAAGCTCAGCCCCATTGATAACAGTCTCCAAAGATGTGCCCACAAAAGCCAGAGAAGCAACAACACATTTGTCTCCGGCTGAAAGAGATAGCATGGATGGTATATCATGCTTACCTTCTGAAATTGATGGCATAGATGGTGTATCAGATGTACCCATTAAGTCCAGCGTTCGAATAAGGTCATCTAGGAACCCTAGTTCACGCTTATTATCCCCAAACCCTACAAGCATGACAAGGCAACAGACACCTGAGCATAGTTTTTATAAAAATGCGGCTAACCATTCAGCTGCACTGGCAAACAAAGACCAACTTCACAATATTCTTTCAGCAACCACTGAAAAGAAAACAGAACTAGCTGGGTCAGTTTGTAGTACACCTTTGAAGGGCACAGATGCAGTATCACCTATTTGTATGGGGGATGGTGCTCATAGATCATTCACGAGAGACCCAGGGAAATCAACTTTAAGAAGAGAACTCATCAGACTGGATGCTGCTGAACCAGAAGTATCTCCTACATTGAAGAGTGCTGGGAGAAGGAAGAGATACATGTCTAGTGTTCGTGTCTTGTTTAGCCATCATCTGGATGATGATATAGTTAAGCAGCAGAAGAAGGTTAGGTTTCTTGAAGCTTTTCTATAAAAATTTTTTTGTTTTTTACCTTGAGTAAACTAGTATTCAACCTGTATGATTCATAGGGGGGAGAGAGAGAGAGAGAGAGAGAGAGAGAGAGAGAGAGAGAGAGAGAGAGAGACAGAGAGAAGAGAGAGAGAGAGACGAGAGGTAGAGTAGTAGGTAATCGTAGTACGTTTGTAGTAGGTACGGTAACGTTAGGTTAGGTACTTACGTACGTACGTACGTACGTATAGTAAGTAAGTAGTACTTACGTA